TTCCATATTTCATTTATTTTGTTGCTTTCGTCACACTTTTGGGCTATATCAACATCCATGTCATGTTTCCATATCAACACTTTGAGCCTTCTTCTTCTTCATAGCAATTTCCTGTTCTTAGCTTGAGAAATTTGCAGTTTTCCCCAGATGCCATTTCATTAGCCATTAAACAAACTGCAAGTTAATAATATTAACACCCTGCTAGTAAATTCTAATCAAGTTACTTAACATCTAGGCCACTATCTCAAAATCTGCTACATTCACTAAAAGAATAAACCTTAATTCTGCAAACTGGGCGAAAACAAACAACAGTTTCTGATCACCCCTGGTTACCTTTCAGGACCTGAAAGTTTATATACCAAAATATCTATGTGTTTGACTTGAACACCCCAGGGTACCAAGATACATATACTAAGCTGTGAAGCAATCTCTGGTCATGTGACCTCTTTGTTCATTACTGTATACACTATATTCATTTATCTGTAAATTACATTATTGATATGAAGAAAAGTTGTTATAGAGAGGTCGTTATTTGACCTTCCACCCAACAATCATAGTCGTATGTTGCACATGTCAGGAAGTCATTCATGGGAGGTCAGATCAATGTAAAATCATTCCATGCACAGAAAAAAGGTTGTATTTAAATGGAAGTCGTTATTGGAGGGGTTGTATCCACCAGGGACTACTGTATCAACTATGAGTATTACTGCTCTTCACACTCACATGAGAGGGGAAAAACATAAGAAAGAAGGTAGCCTTTCCAAAACACAGCCACTCAGTGATTTTGCACCATGAAGAACCAAGTCATCACCAGAAATATCTCGGAAGCCCAGTCTTCAATTGAACATCAACTTCAACAAGATTCAAGATAACTTCTTATTTCACAAAAAGCAATTCATTGAAGGCTGAGATTTGATGGACTTTAAAAACAATCAGCTCAAGTTAATCATTTAAGTAAAGTGATGATATTATATTTATTTGGCAGAATTACTTCCCAGACAGTGAAATAGTGAAAAAAACTTATGAAGAGACAAAATGCATGTACTTAACATATTATGGATTAGCTCCACATCTGAAATTTCTACTCAAAAGAAAGGTAAAGAATGAGCTGTATGTTTTATTATTTGATGAAAGCCACAATGAATACCTTCAGAAGAAACAGATTTTCTAGTATGTCAGGTCAAGATACTACAGCAGCATTTTCCTCAGTCATGTTTCAGCTGTCAATTTGCTAGACTCATTTGATGATTCTCTGGAAAATTTGGGTTTTCACAACCTTGTTCAACTGTCCATGGATGGCCCTAATGTTAATTGGAGGTTATATGAAAAAATTGATGCTAGTGTTACCAATGAGCACAATGTTCATCTCTTAAGCATGGGCTCTTGTGGCCTTCATATCTTTCACAACAGTTTCAGAGCAGGGTTAAAGGTCCTTTTTGTATTTTGTCTGCATACCCTCTTCCATGATAGGTGACCTCACAGAGCTGATTTCAACAATGTTACAACTGGCTATCCAGGAAGTGTGTTTTATCCAAAGTTTTTTTATTGTCACTGATGGCTGGAGAATCTCAGTGTTGCTCAAAAAGCACTAATTATGCTTCCAGTAATCAAGTATTATATAGCAGCAGTTGAAACAGATAGAATTAAGTCCCCAAACACACACAATCATTTGAAGTAGTTAGAATGGCTTGTTTAAATATACTACTATATGAAAAACTTGCTTTTTTTATTTCTGTTGCCAAACCCTTAGAGCATTTCCTTGTTGTATACCAGACAGATAGGGTCATACTTCCATTTTTAACACAAGACCAAGAAAAACTCGTCTGAACCTTGTTAGAGAAAATGTCTTAAATTGGATATTGTAAAGGGAACAAATACAGTTCTGAAGTTGTTTGCTGTAAATGTAGAAGACCCTTCCAATCATCTTGAAGCAAGAGAAATTGATACTGGCTTTGTTGCAAACAATTTAGTGAAAGATCATCTCCATATTACAAACAAAGCACGTGGTATCAGTGAATGTCAAACTCTCAAATTCAGATTACAGTGTAAACAGTTTTTTTCTTGAACTGGTAAAGCATATGTTGGAAGAAGCTCCAATTAGGTATAAACTGGTTTCCAATCTATCTTGTCTTGATCCCTGAATTCTAAGCAGCAATATGCAACTGTGTGCAACCATGTTTAAGTTTGTCCTGAAGTGTTTAAAAGATGCCCACAAAGTGAATGTTGAAGATGCTGATGAAGTTATGCAGCAGTTTAGAGAGTTTGCAAAATGACATGATTCCAGTGAGTGTTTGTTTCTAACTTTAATGCGAATGAAGATATTCTTGACATACTGCTTTTTGATTCTATGAGAAACTTTACCAAACTGCGGGAATTAGTAAGAGTTCTCTTGATTCCTTTGCTTGGTCAAGCTACAGTTGATAGAGGCTTTTTCATGAAGAGCAATATATTGGTACAGAACCTGTCTCCTGAACATTTAATAAGCCTCAGGCTTGTGAAAGACTTCATCAACAAAGTTGGACTCAAATATTGTCATAATAAATGAACTTTTTGCAAGACAGAACTATCAGACTGCTCACAAGGAAAGACAAGAAGCACAAAAGGCTGATGAAAAGAAAGAATATGATGGATGGCATTAACTGTCTTAAGAAAAAATAGAAGAAAGTGCAAAAGGAAATGTTTAGAGAAGGTTTTGTCACCATTAGGTACAAGTAATTTACCTAGACTCAGGAATATATATACAGCATAGAACAAACCCTTGAGGATATTTGTCTTGTGATGCATTCCACCTACATCAATGCACCCTCTATCCTGATATAAGCACCTCATTCAGATAATTTTATCACTTTTTCTCAACAAAGCGTCACCAGTGGGTTTCCCAGTATTACAATTGCTTGGAGATACTTTGAATGTTGTCTTGTTATCCAGTTGATTTCATAATAATAATAATTTTAAAAAATATATAAAATAAGTTTTTTTTCTCCCGATTGGCAAGCCGATTATGGTATGAATTCTCAGATTATTATATCTGGCATGGAAGCCCATTGGGTCTCTCCAGTCTCTGATATCTAGCATCGCACAACATCGCTCTTGGTTGAGACTGTCAGTGATCTTATTTGTAGTGAGATGGAGAAATATATTTGGATCTGTCTTCCAGGGTGGTAGAGGCTGCATTTGAGGGTGATCCTCAATATTTTGGAGAAAGTTTAGATTCGCTTTTTCCTGTACATTCTATTAGCCTGTTGGATTTTCAGCCTCCCCTGTGGGTCAGTGGTAAGTTCAAGGACTTACAGTGCCAGGGTTTTATTCCCTAGGGTAGACACAGCAGATTGTCTGCAGGTGCTTTGCTGTAACAAAACAACTTACTTTACCTCACAAAAGGCTATTCCAATCAAAGGTAATCAACACAATCTATAAATGACATATGAAAAACATAAAGGAGGCTACTTTGGGATACGCTGCTTTTGATTTGTTTTTCTTCTGTTGGTTCTTTGAATGTGTGATGTTTTGGACTTTTTCCTGGTTGCTTTTGAGCCTGCAACTTAATTATGGCTGAAAGGTCTGGGAGTGAAATTTTTTCTTCATACACGGAAATTGTGATTCATATTGGAAGGTTTACTTCTTAGTTACGTGAAGGGACAGTTAGGCCTTATACAATTCATTGCCGGAACTTTGTGATTATGCCTACCATGACCGCCAGGTGGAGACATTTTTGCGACTCTCAAATAATTTCAGCTTCTCAAATTTCGGGGTTCTAAGACGGAGTTTGTAGTTCACCTATATAGGTCTATGTCTCCTGATTGGACAGAGTAAATCTATGGACTTCCAATTCACCTTCAGCATTTTGTTTCTTTTCATTTCTGTTTGTTAAAAGACTCTCAGGATCACTAGTTTCATTGGGGATGAGCTGGATCCATTGTTAGCATGCACGTTGGTACAATTTTTGGCTTCTACATGCCTCCCAGTTTTTGTTGGAGTCTAAATTTCATCAACTCCTGGAGGAGGTCATAGTTCTTCCACTATTTGTGAGTACTGATCCCTGACATCAGCTACTCAATACATAGAATCGATTCTGTCTATACTCAAGGTATCCACTGCTTAGTTGGATCACCAGCAGTGTTGGCGATTATTTTATACCTTCATGTGCTGTGATGGCTCAGTTCCAAGGTTTTCTGGACGTGTGGTAATATTACCCATCGGTCCAGAAGATCTGCCGGTCCTTGGGTGAAAATTGGTCATTCAGTTCTCATATTCCCCACTATTATCTACCCAACCTGTAGGTTTGTGTCTCCTGTAGTTCATTGGGATTTGGAACTTAGTTCTAGGGTTATCTGAGTCTGGTTGGTCTGGGGGTAGCGAGAGAGAGAGTTGGGTTAGTTCTTCATAGTTTTTATTCCTGTGAGTTGTTGGGCCTATGAAGACAGGAGATTGGTGTCCAGTCATCAGTCTTCCTTGTCTATATCAGTGCCTAATTCTTCAAGGTTCACAAGTTTATCATTCCTCAATCTGTGTTGATTTTTGTACTGGGATTGTAGATGTCCAACTTTGTTGTAGTTGGCTCCAATGTGAACTTTGCTTCAGTGGTGGAGTCCGACCACTATCAGCATTTGTGGTGCACAAGGGTCAGGTACTGCAGTTCTGGGTTTTTTCTTTGGTCTTGCATAGGCTTGACATCGGTTCTGCTGTATCATACAAGTTTTATTGTCCCCTTCATTCCATCGTATTGTGCACACACCATTCCTCAGATGACTGGTTACTACCGACAACATCTCGCCAAGTGTTAGACTATCACGTCCTTCATGCCTTTTGGGACAAGAACACAAGCAATCCCTTTTATTGGTCTTTAGGCAACCAGGGATTGTACACAGCTATTTCCTGGTTTCCTTAGTCGGGATCATTCTTTGATCTGGAGGGATTAAGTCAGGATGCTACTACAAATTACTACTCTACTGCCGCCTCATCCAATGTTACATTCTTTTTAAGAATGCCTTGCTACAGGGATGGGGTACATATACCAACAGTCGGGAATTCCAGAGCATGCACTGACAACAAGAATTCCCAACACAGTGTTTTTGTCCTTCTTGCTCTTCAACAGGTAAGGTCTCATAGTGTGGGCTTCTTAAGGGGTAAATCAACAGGCTTCACTCAGACTATTCCAAGGTGATGTCTTATGTTTCTCATCAAGGAGGTATGTGGTCTAGTTCTCCTTATTTTCGAATTTTGGACCTCCTTTCTTGGAACTAGTCTTATCTTATCATCCTTCTAGCTTGCCATGTTCCACAGGTGATGCCTGTGATAGCAGTTCCATTGTCTCAATCCAAACAGATTCTCCTGACTGAATAGATGTTGTAACTCTAATTGTTGGGGTGGACTCTCATCCGATCACCCAACACTGGCAATTTAGTCTTTAGTACGTCTTCTTTAGGCCTTGGCAATAGATGCTTTCCATCTGGACAGGATGGGATTACCACTCTCAACTTGCTCTCCACTTCATATGTTACCCAGGGTACGAAATATGATTTGTTCCAACCCATTGTCAGGTCCGGTTCATTGCACCAGATTGGTGGCTGCTTCTGGATTTCTGCTTCTGCAGTACCTTCTGTTCTGTCCAACTCTTCCTCTTCTTTTTAGGATATCTCTCTGTAGGCATCTATAACCGGATATGGTGCACCCTGCTATCCAGAAGCTCAATCTTCTGGTATAGAGGTTATGCTGTCTTTCACACAGCATTGGGGGTTTAAGTTCTAAAGTTGATATGTATCTGGCTCAGTTTATGCTTAGTCCACAAGTCACTTTTCTCAAAGGTAATGATGTGCATATTGGCAAGGAGGTTTAACCCTTTTCAATCAGTAGTTGAACTTGGCTTTTTGACAGAGGTTTTTGCATCTTCCACAATTGCCATTGTTTACGGCGGCCTTATCAACTACTGTTCGATTATCGCAACTACATACTTTTGAGCCCCAAGTACTCTTCTAATTCCTTACATCGTTTTGGGTAATCGGTCCCAAATGACCTTCCAGTTACCTAAGCAGGTATATTAATGTTACATGTTCTTTCTCTACATCTGTTTTTGATGTGACTCTTATATGCCATGTATCCCCTTTACCTGCAGGTTTATTTTTTTTGTCTGCTGACCTATGAACATACCAGTTGGAGTAGTTTGCACTGTTTGTCCACAGACCTCTTTTTCATTCTCTCTATCTACTTCCTCAGACCAGTTCTTTTTACCCAACACTCTGTCAGACAGGAAAAAGGTTCAGTCCATCCTTTTCTCCAATTCATCTGCTAACTCTTTCTCTCTATGTCTGCAATTATACCTTTATTTGGGCTCTCTTTGAAGGTATGGTATCTTCTGTGAGTCACATCTAATCAGATTTCCCTTTTCTATGTCCTTAGCAGCCTAGCTGAATTGCCCACTAGAGGTCACTGTGTGGATTGGTATTTCTGCTAGATTATCCAGAGAGTTGAGTAATTTTATTTCTACCTTTCAGGGTCCCTTACCTTGTTTTCACAGGATCCCACTCTGTGGTGATTGTTGCCCAGACAGGTGTGTTTTTATCAAACCAATTCCACACTAGCAACCACTATTTCACTCTAATTACTACCAATTGCAACAGACTTTGTAGGAATGAGATGTTCCATAAGACCACCTAGGAGCTCACGAAGTGGTATTACCATACTATGCTGGGCCATTACTCATGGACTATCATGAGTAAAACAAAAGGGGAACCTGCCCATCCCTGCCAATCTTCAGATTGAATAAATTGGGGTGGGTTTCCTTTTAAGAATTTAGGGAACTTGGTTCACCTATTGCACTATTTTCAGAGCACTGTTCCTCATGACTCTCCAACATACATTACCCCCAAGAATCCACAAGTGAATCCAGGGAGTCCTTACAACACCCAGTTTCCAGTCACTGAGATGATGGACAGAGGCTTTTCCTCCAGAGTGTTAAAGTGAATTCCTCCACTTTTGGAGAAGAGGGCAAACTTGGAGGACCTCCTACCCGGGTCCATGGATGTTTTTTTCCCAAATGTTGGTAGGAGTGTCGCCAGCCTATGCAGGAGCCTACTTGTAATACTGGTTCAGATTTGGTGCTCAGTTATCTGGTTGGGGTGTGCATGCCCCTTCTTTTTGATCAATATCAGTTCAGTATATTGTTCGTGGACGGAGGTCCACTGTCTCCTCGTAATTCTAAATGTGCAGTGGTCCTATCCTGGGTACTTGGTTCAGTTTGTTCCACATCCTTCCCATAATTCTCAGGGCAAGTGGAATGCTCCTTGCCCACTTGGCTGTGGAGTGAGGATGAATGTTCATAATTCCAGACTGGATGAATTCTGTTCCTTTGGGTGAATAAGGCAAACATGATCCTGTCATTCTGAGCCTGGGGTGTTGCCTTTTGAACTTCTTCAGGTGGAGGAGAGGGTTTGTTCACTTAAGTGTTGCTTACATTCTCATTGTGATTCCAGTGGTTCAGAATGCATCACTCTGTGGCTACAGGTTGGGATCCAATCAAAGGTATATCAATATATATAATGTTGCAGTCCAATTGCTCTAGCCACCAACATGGGATATAGGGAGCAAGGCCCCTTAATTTCAACCCGAGTAGTGGAACTTGGAGTATCTGGTTGGGGCTGGCTTATAGTGATAATTACTCATGTACAATTCCACCCTTGATACAGGAACTAAGTTCAGGGTGAAAAGCATACCTGTTCTGGATGTAGTGTGGTTCCCCCACTCGGGTACCAATCTTATCTTGGTACACCCATGATCTGTGCAGATGCTTTCTGTATGTATAATGCCATCACCAGCCCCTCCACCTTCTCAGTGTGGTATTCTAGCTATAAGTGGCAGTGGAGGCAAGTGTGTTTTGGAAGTTAACTTTTTACAAAATTGAAAACATATTTCCAATAATACTTACCTTTGCTGACACTCTCCCACCCTTCCTCCTCACTAAGAGCCAGTGTTGGAGACTGGGATGATATCAGTATCAAGAAAGTGATAACATTACCTGAATGAGGTGCTTATATACAGTACCAGGATAGAAGGCACATTGACGTAGGTGGAGAGTATCACGAGACAAATATCACTAAGGGCAGTTGAGTGGGGTATAAAAGACTGGAGCAAGCATGAAAAAATCAGACTAATGCTTAGATGGGCCAAGAAGAAACCCTGGCAGTCGAGTAATAACTATAAGTGTCAGCAGAGGTAAGTATTATTGGAAATACATTTTCAATTTAGGAAAATGTTAACTTTTGTTTAAAATTAG